GTTAAGTTTAAATGTGTCTCTGAGGTTTCAGTCATAATCTAGGGGATATACACAAATAACAATAATAATGAACAATAATAAATAAAAATTATAATTCGAACTCCATTTCGAATAGCTTAAATGGAAAACAACTTCGTGTACCTGTAAAAGACACTTAGTAAAAGTGTTAGTACTAAATAAATATGAATAAAAATGAATAACTCAAATAATAACTTAAAAATAAAACTAGTCTTACTAACATGGGAGGCCTTGGAAATCGACGATAATTTCTTCATCGGCCAATTTCAACTTATAACAAATATGAACTTAAACTAAATTTCTGTCTTTTAAAATGGGGAGGCCTCTAAAACCGATGGAGAAATTTTTTCATTGGCCAATTTCAACTTATAACAAATATGAACTTAAACTAAATTTCCGTTCTTTAAAATGGGGAGGCCTCTAAAACCGACGGAGATATTTTTTCATTGGCCAATTTCAACTTATAACAAATATGAACTTAAACTAAATTTCCGTCTTTTAAAATGGGGAGGCCTCTAAAACCGATGGAGATATTTTTTCATTGGCCAATTTTAACTTATAACAAATATGAACTTAAACTAAATTTCTGTCTTTTAAAATGGGGAGGCCTCTAAAACTGACGGGGAGATTTTTTCATTGGCCAATTTCAACTTATAACAAATATGAACTTAAACTAAATTTCCATCTTTTAAAATGGGGAGACTCTAAAACCGACGGAGAGATTTTTTCATTAGTCAATTTCAACTTATAACAAATATGAACTTAAACTAAATTTCTGTCTTTTAAAATGGAGAGGCCTCTAAAACCGACGGAGAGATTTTTTCATTGGCCAATTTGAACATTTTCTAAAAGTAGCTTAATAAAAAAAATAAAAAATCCATCAAATAAATTTCAAACAACACAAATAGAATCCAATGTAAATGATACTCAAGCTATTTAACGAATAACAACAAATATATAGCACATCAATAATAACAAAAATAACAAGGCAAAACAATAATTAGAAGCCTTTCCTAAAATAAAATAAACAATTCAAAACTTAACAGAAATGATTTTCAACAAGGAATACTATTCAATCATTGAATTATAAATATCACTTTAAACTAGCAAAGGACAAATAAAGTAAAATAAGATGACTTGTGAGCAGTAACCAAAACATAACAATACAAATTAAATTTTAAAAAAATAAACCACTAATTCCAACAAAATAAAAAATGGCCAAACATGATGGCCCCAAGCGAACCCTTGACCTGACTTACTTACTCAGCGGAAGACTTAAACATAAGAAATAATCTCAAACAAGAAACTTATGAATTAAACTTAGAATGTCTTTAAGGAAACATTCAAACTAGCCAAAATGGCTACTCAAGTCTCATAGCAAAACATCTGAATTACAAGACTAAAGGACTATAACCACTCGTCTATGAAGCCTCTAAAACAAAGAGGGATGTCTGGACAAGACCCCCGATCATCCTAACTACTGAAATACTAGAAAACAATGTAAAAATGAGTCCTCTAAAAAACAAACAGGCTCACCAACTGACTCTGAGTGCTCAATTGGACCAACGATGCGCTGGATGCTGATCCTGATTACCTGTGTCTGCATCATAAAACGATGCATGCCAAATGACATCAGTACATTGAATGTACGAGTATGCGAGGGGAAAACTAAAACATATAGTAAGCTTGAAAAGAATCTGAAAGGAACATTTACCTTGACTTTACTCAACTCAATATAAAGCAATAATACACATGCAATATATAGAAAACTTTTTAAAATGGTAGAAAGCAACTCAGTTTGTTAAAGAAAATGCAATAACAACTCAACTTACTCATATAATAAAGTAATGTGATATTGTGGGAGTTTCTCTAACCGACAACCACCACTATGAGCCTAAGTGGTGATACAACATCTTGCCTATGCTGTCAGAACTGTCCTATACTTTGCCGTCTTATAGAACGCCTTAACTAAGTGGATCCACTAGTCTATGCTAAAAAGCACTTAAGGAATCATCTAAAAAGTATGATCCTTTGCTACCCATGATGGCTACATGGTTTATGGAGACTTGAGTTATTATGAACTCGTATTCCCATATCGGTGCTCAATACTACTCCCAAAAATATACTTAGCTCATATGTTTTTAAAACAAAACTTCTTTCTTTGGTTTGAGATAATTACTCAAAACTTAGCTTAAAAACTCTCTTGGAAATTGGTGTTTCCCTTCTTACTCAAATGTGAAAATATTTTAACTTTTTGGGAATACTTAGTTCCCGTATAATCTTTGAAGAAATGAATTCTTACTCTTACTCTTTAGTCAACTCAAAGCTTAAGTCTTAAAACAAAGTTAAAACGTTTGTGAAAGACTTTTGAAATACTTTATGAACTTCTCTTGACTTGATTCTTAACTTCTAGACTTGACTCTTAACTTTCCTTGAATTGAATTATGGATTCAAGGTTCATGATCTCATGTTTATGGATGATTTCATGACGTTTAGTCGTACCTTAGAGTGTTGGAATCAACTAGAAAACATAGGTACGTTGCTAAGGAACTAGTACGGAAAGATGGGGGAAGAATGGGAAGAACTGGCGTCCCTGGCGCTCTATGAAGCGCGGGGTGCTAGCCTTAAAACTTCAGAGAAGGACTTGGGGCACTCTGGCTGGCGCGGCGCCCCAGAGGTCAAACTTCAGAGCCCCTTTTGGGGCGCTCTGGCTGGGACGACGCTCTAAGCCCCTGCCTAGGTGGGTTTCGACTTTTCTTCTTCATCTCTAAACCCCCTATTTTGACTTGGTTCTTTCTTGAAACACTTAGAATCAACTATACCATCAAAATACATCAGATTCTACTCGAAATCACACCTAAAATCATGAATCAAACTCAAGAAACTTCAACAACAAGAACCCACAAGATTTCAAATGATATAACATCAAGAACTCATAGGATTTACTTTCAAATCAATATACTTCGCTAAATTGAATCATGATTGGCGCGTGGGTGAACTAACCCAACACTATGTGATCTCAAATACCTCGTAGGGATCACCCCTTGACGAAACTTTTCTCCTCTTGTCTTTTCTCCAAGCCCTAGCGTGAACTTCAACTTTTCTAAACTGATCTGATTCTGATTAGACCCCAAATAAACCCCTAAAAATGAATTAAAATAATTGGGTAAGGAAAAGACTAAAATACCCTTCCAAAATCCGGATTAGACTTTTCTTAATCGAACAACCCAACTTCAAATAAGCATATCTCACTCACACAAATTCAGAAAACCGCAAACTCGACGGTGTTGGAAAGATTATTCCAAGATCTTTCCTACGATATCTGGAATCACACCTAAATCATCCTGAGCTAGGAGTTATGGTCGTTTGAAGTTGACCAAAAACCCAAACTTAACATAACTTAACATAACTTAACAAATTTCCAGATTTTTCATTTTTTCCTAAAATGACTATTTCCAATTCTAACTCTTTCTAGTTCTTTCAATTAGCGAGATGTTATAGAATTTTTTGAAAACCTTAAGTTTTTAATTCATCCACTTTATAATTAATAGGGGTAAAGTGGTAAACTCACTATGTCAATTATTGTTTTCTTAGTAGGTGTGTCAATTCAAAAGTGGACAAGTAATTAGGAACAAAGGGAGTAAATCTGAATGAAGGGAGTATTATAAAAATTCTTAACACATTTATGATTTTCAGAAAAATCCCCAACCCACATACCGACCCCGCCCCGCATGTTTTCTTCAAAAACATTGTGTTACCCGCCCCGCCCCCGCAAAAATACTAGCGTGCTCCACAAACACCATAATCTACCCTGTCCTGCAACCGCCCTACCCCGTTGCCATTCCTAATGTTTACTCAATTTAAGCTTTTCCTAACAAGAAGACGAACTATATTTGTGCAATTTTCTTTGTCAATGGTGACATAATCATGCATGATACTCTTTTAGTAAAATATATTAACGTTTGTGTGGGGGTGGGGGGGATCATTATTATCTTAATTTTAAGCTTACTTTTTCATTAGGTTGGTGTGTTAATTTTTCTCAACTAGTTGATAGTACCCCCCATCTAATTTGAACCAAAAGGCACTTAAGTGGTTGAAAAAGTTGAGGAAATATAAGGGCCTTTAGCCACTCATGTTCTACAAAAAAACACAAGAATTCGATATATTCATATATATAAAATTATCGCTAAAATAATTAAGAAGAAAATAAACCTAATGGTGAAATCTCAACTCCGATGTATGGTTGCTTAAAAATTGACCAACCAGTTACTTATTTCAGGTCGTTAAATTTACGTTGAAATAAAATAACAATAAAAATTCTTCTATTCGTTATTTAAACACTTGTTTATATTGATGTATTAGAATAAACTAGATCCTTGCTAAGTCACAAGTCATTTGAGTAGGATATTTGAATTTCACCAATCTATATTACTTGGACGACCACCTACACTTGTATGTGTGTTGACTAGAGTTGTCCCGAACAATTTTTTGGCACCATTACTGGGGACTCTACCATATTTATCCTTTTCTTGGAGGAGAAGTTTTGTACTTTGTAAAATATAATACAGTCCACAATATAGTCGTTTAAAGAGTGTCATTTAGGTAGAATTTTTCTCTTTAATCATTCTTTCATATTAGTTTTCCCACATGTAGACTACGTGGGCATATCATATTAAATTATCGGAAAAGGGTCAAAATTATCCCTGAACTATGCGAAATAAACCATTTATACCCTCAACTATATTTTAGGATAAAAAATGCCCCTGCCGTTATCCTAAGAGACCATAATTACCCTTAAGACTTAACAAAAGTGATTTGGCAAGCCACATGACACTAATTCCACCACATAGACTTGCCAACTAGGATACCCACTAAATTTTTTGACCCAATTAGTAATTCAACCCTAACCCATTTTTGCTAGACCCTGTCCACTCAAATTAGGAGGGAAACATCATCTTTTTCACCTAGATCGTTTTCACTATTCAATTCACCATATGGAGGAGAATTTTTTGAAGAACATCTTTGCATCCTAGTTTTCGAACTAGGTATGTTCTGAAATTTGCTTCACAGTACTCTGGAGCTCCAATAATTTTTGAACCAGTTAAAGAAATTGACCATAACTTTTGGATGTCATCAACCAAAACAACATCAGAATCAAGATAAATTACCCTTTCAACACAGGGCTGGATGATCTCAGCTAAATAAGTCCTAGCATAGTTCAATGGATTAACTAGAGCTTGACGAATCGAAGATGATATCAATTTCTTCACTCGAAATTAATTAAAGCTGTAAACTTTGAAACTCAGAGATGGAAATATGGACTTCACCATCTTTCTCAGGTCTTGAAAATCCTTATTTTTCGAAGCCACAAAATGGAAATAAACATTTTCTGGGCAAGATGAATGCTTGAGAACAGAGTGAACTGCTGCTGCTGATCTTCTAAAATATTTGGCATCAAGAGTCATGGCTACATGTATCAAATTTGGGTCACAAGTCAACAAATTCGAATAAAAAATTGGACATTCTTGGCTATTACGATACTCTGGAGATTCTTGCTACAAAGATGTATCAAATTTGGGTCATTTTCTTGCTGCAAAGATGCAGTACTACTGTTTTTTTGAATGCAAAGATGTTCTTCAAAATATTCTCTTCTGTGTGGTGAATTGAATATTGAAAACATTGAGGTGAAAAAGATGATGTTTCCTCCTAATTTGAGTGGGTTGGGTCTAGCGAAAATGGGTTAGGTTAAATTATTAATTGGGTTAAAATTTTTAGTGGGTATCCTAGTTGGCAAGTCTATGTGGCGAAATTAGTGTCATGTGGCTTGCCAAATCAATTTTGTTAAGTTTAAGGATAATTGTGGTCTCTTAAGATAGCAACAGAGACATTTTTTTTCCTAAAATGTAACGGAGGGTATAAGTGATCAATATCTCATAGTTCAGGGGCAATTTTGACTCTTTTTCGTTAAATTATTATATTTTGTTAGTATAGTTTTCACAGTCATAAATTTATTACTCCCTCTGTTTCAAAAGAATGACCTACTTTGATTTGGAATGAAGTTTAAAAAAAAAAGATCATTTTTTAATCTTGTGGTTCTAATGCCCTTTAATCTTGTGACCTTAAATATGCCACGTGAAAAATTAAAGTTAAGTGTTGCAAAAAAAAAAAAGGGTCATTTTTTTAAAAACAAACTAAAGAGCTTAGCTCATTTTTTATTTTTTTGAAAGAGAGGGTGTATTAGCTTTCACATGTACTAACTTGATTAATTTCTTTGACTTTCATGTTGCTTTGTTCTATTTATATCAACTCAATTTTCAGGATTGTGATCACTGTCTGTCTGATTTCTCCAATGTACTGTTAACTTGTACACAAGTTTGATGAAAATTATTGCTTCAAGATTTCTCACATGAAATTTATGTCTTTACTACTTTTTCTTCACATGATTTCTGTTGATGGAAAACCAACTAGTTTTTCTTTTGGTGGCTTACAATTCATCACGAGTCATTTTAGGGTGATTATTTTGTGAAAGTCAAATATTTTTATCTTTCCTCTGTTTCTACAGAAGATGATCGATAACCTTTAACCGAAGCCTACAGGAGACTGTTTTGTTTAGTCAGATTTATGGCTTATGGTAATTCGAGATCTGTAAGGTTTGTCGAGTTCTTTCGTTATTTTACTTCATACTATTTGTCTCTACAGTAGAAAATGTAGAGACTTACCACTACTTCTTATTAGCATTTTTAAATTTTGTTTTATATAATATTGAAATGACATGTGCTTAAATGGCGCGACATAGATAATGAGGATTCATATAGAATTAGATACGTACTTGTTGCTATTGTCGTAAACTGTTTATGACATTGGTGTAATATATGTTTACTGAATCTCCTTTTGCACATACCGAACTTCAGATTCCAAGATGATCTTGAAGCAACAAAGTATGCACCAGCTCATGAAGATAATGTGGTCAAGGTGAAGCATAAGCTTGATGGAGTACGACAATCAGAGCCAGCCAGTAGAAAGAGTGATAAGAAGTATGACGGGGGTAGAAAATCCCTGAAATCTAAAGTACTATCACGAGTTTTTTCAGAAGACTATGAAAGAGTGAACAAAAAGATATTGGATCCTCGAGGACATGTAATTCGTAACTTGAACAAGATTTTCTTAGTATCTTGTTTAGTTTCATTGTTCGTAGACCCCCTATTGTTTTACTTGCCAGTCGTTAACCAAGATATCTGCTTAGATATAGGAGTTACTCTGGAAATTATCCTCACAGTTATTAGATCAATAGCTGATATCTTTTACGTGATTCAGATTTTTGTTCGATTTAGAACTGCTTATGTTGCTCCATCTTCTCGTGTATTTGGGAGAGGAGAGCTTGTTATAGATACTTCGAAGATAGAACAAAGATATATTAGAAAAGGTCTCTTGATTGATGTCATTGCGGCCCTGCCTTTACCTCAGGTTAGTCACTAAAAACTTGGGAAACTGATTTTAAAAGTATGTATTTACGTGTTAATTAAGAGTAGAATTGTTTAAAGTGATCATAAGTATAATGAACTTGTTTAAAGGATTTTATTGCTTCTTATTGTTTTAGGTGTTGATTTGGGCTGTTATCCCTAATTTAAGGGGCTCAACAATGGCAAACACGAAGAACGTCCTAAGATTCATTATCATTTTTCAGTATCTCCCTAGACTTTATCTCATATTTCCATTGTCGTCGCAAATTGTCAAGGCTACTGGTGTTGTGACTGAAACAGCATGGGCAGGAGCTGCTTACAACTTGATGCTCTACATGTTAGCAAGCCATGTAAGTAAAGTCTGAGTTCCCTGTTTGGTAGATGCTTCATTTTTCGCTAAAATATGCTATACTGCATTAGATATTTATAGACGCATATCAAGAAAGTACTCTTCTATTTCATTTCCCAATTGCAGTACACAAATGAGAACATCATGGTTTTGTCTTTGTCACCGTTCAAGCCCATGACATAATATTTTCTGTTTTGTTCTAACAGACCTCACATATTTGTTCCTTGGGATACGACATATTGAACACAAAAGCATGCATACCATGTGAACTTTTGCTCTGTGTTATAAATAACTTCACATTCCTCTCCCATTTTGATGTAAGAAAGTAAAATCTTCTTCGGGAGCTCAGTAACCTATATGTCTGCCAGTCATTCTCCTTGGCCCTCCCTCATTAGCCCGACTTGGCTTATAGGCGTCACTATCTTTCATGTCTTACGAAATCCTCTCTTATAGAAGAAAATAATCATAAATAGCACTTGTTTTTTGTACAAAAATATAGGTACTGGGAGCTTGTTGGTATCTTCTATCAATTGAGAGGCAAGAAGCTTGTTGGATGTACGTGTGCAATCTTGAGAAGCCGTCTTGTGATTATGGATATTTTGACTGTCAGAGTATAAATGATCCACAAAGGAAGTCCTGGTTCAATTCCAGCAACATTACAAGACAATGTGACCCAAATAAAAGTGATTACCCATTTGGTATTTATGGTGACGCGGTGACAGTTAGCGTGACATCTGCTTTGTTTTTCAACAAGTACTTCTACTGCCTCTGGTGGGGCTTGAAGAACCTAAGGTAAGTAAATCAATTTGATGTCTATTTTATCTAATCTTAAAAGTTAAAGGGATCTGAATACACAATTGGCAAACAGCAGCTCATTTGCTGACCTGATTCAGTTGGGGGTTGTTTGGTTGTTGGTTAGAGTTATCCAGGGATACGTTATGCAAGCATTAGTTATTCATATATTACTTATTCTGGTTTTAATACATGAATTACTCAGTTCCAAACTAGCAACCAAACGACCTGGTTTACGTACTTCATTTGCAGTATGTGCAAATCAGTTTCATATTATATATGTTGACAGTAAAGGAGTTAAAATTAGTTTTTCTACTTTTTCCATGAAAAAGATGAGAAGTTTCATATATTCAGTACTTTACAATTGTGTAAGGTATAAAATATATATGTCTTGTGCTTATAGGAGGAGATTTCTTTTCTGAGAAAAGATTGGAGATTTTCCTCATTCATCCAAGAAATCAGCATTGCTGATTTTCGACGTGATCCTCAACTTCAGTTTTGTTTTGGTTGATATGCAGTGCTCTAGGACAAGATCTTTCTACAAGCACTCATATTGGAGAAATAAGTTTTGCCATCATAGTTGCAACGCTCGGCCTGGTTCTTTTTGCCTTGCTCATCGGCAATATGCAAGTTAGTTTTGCTCACTAACATTTACTATATTCCTGTATTATAAGCTATTCAGGCACGACTAATTCACTTTTTCTGGCAGACATACCTTCAATCGACAACAGTCAGATTAGAGGAGTGGAGAATCAGGAGAATGGATACAGAACAATGGATGCACCACAGGCAGTTACCTCAAGAATTAAGGCAGTCAGTAAGGAAATATGATCAATACAAATGGATTGCTACAAGAGGAGTTGATGAGGAAGCTCTTATCAAAGGACTTCCTCTAGATCTTCGCAGAGATATCAAACACCACCTCTGCTACGATTTAGTTCGAAGAGTAAGTTCTACAAGAATATATACTAAGGGATGTATTACACTTCATTTGCGTATGCTAGAAGTTCCATGGGATGGAAAAACTTAGTATGCAAAATGATTGTATACCTTTTTTATATATCTTTGAAAATTTGGTAGGTACCACTGTTTGATCAAATGGATGAAAGAATGCTAGACGCAATATGTGAGAGGCTAAAGCCTGCATTGTGCACTCAAGGCACTTGTCTTGTGCGCGAGGGTGATCCTGTCAATGAAATGCTCTTCATAATTCGAGGGAATCTTGATTCTTACACCACGAATGGTGGCCGCACTGGTTTCTTCAATTCTTGCCGTATAGGTCCAGGTGATTTCTGTGGGGAGGAGCTGCTGACATGGGCTCTCAATCGACGTCCAAGTGTGATTCTACCATCCTCCACTCGAACAGTGAAAGCAGTTTCTGAAGTAGAGTCATTCGCACTTGTTGCAGAGGACTTGAAGTTTGTGGCAGCACAGTTTCGGAGGCTGCATAGCAAACAACTGAGGCACAAATTCAGGTTCTATTCGCACCAGTGGCGTACTTGGGCTGCATGCTTCATTCAGGCTGCATACCGTAGATATAAAAAACGAAAGGGTGTAGCTGAACTTGAGGCTCTAGAGAATTTGGTGAATGCAACAGAGTCGTTTAGTGGGCAATTGGATATGAATGCACCATCACCTAGATCAGGTTTTGCAGAATATGCAACAAGATGGGCAGCAAGTAGAAGGGGTCTTCACAAGCACTCTGATTCAGATTCCTCTGCAGTTAGTTCATTACAAAAGCCAGAAGAACCTGATTTCTCTGTTGATGATGAGTAACTTTGAAAAGTGATCCAGTTGTAACTTGTAAGATAAGGTGGATATGTACATCGGTTTGCATATTCTTTACTAAAATTTTGATATATAGGAAACGCATAATACATAAACATGTCCTTTAACTTGCTCTCAACTGACATTTATGCCCTCCAACTTTGGGTGTGAACAAGTAACTTTTAAACTTGTATAAAGTTAATAGACACATGTGTCCTACGTGACATAATACACGTGGGACACATGTGTCTACTTGTTCAACTTTATACAAGTTTAAGTGTCTACTTGTGTATACCCAAAGTTAGAGGGCAAAAGTGACAATTGAAGTCAAGTTAAATGGCACGTTTATGTATTATGCCTATAAGAAACCTTACTGCAGCTTATTTACCATTAACATAAAGATTGTAAAGTTCAAAGAATAGAACAATGGCCTGAAACTTAGAAGCCTCTAACATGGAATCTGGTACAATTTACACTAAAAACATATCAATTTGTTTAAATAGGAGTCATCAAATCAATTTTCAAAGCATGTTTTCTTTGTCATGGTATAACCATCAACACAAAATATTGAGAAAAAAGAGTATCTTGAAATGGAAGAGTCTCGTGTTGGTGTTGAGGATTATGTAACTAATTAATGGTTCACATAGTTAGTTAGTTAGTTAGTTAGAATGGAATCTTTGGTAGTTAGTGAATGACAGGCTGACAATTCATGCCTAAGAAATATTGTGTATTATGTATAGCTAAGATGTAAATCACACATTATGAATGAAGAAGCAGTTTCATTCTCTCTGATTTTTTTCTCTTCAGTTCTACTCATTACTCCATCAATGGAGCTCCTTCACATGGTATCAGAGCACACTGGAGTCTCCTGTGTGTAAAGTTCATTAACTGATACAGTGAAGTCCTCCTTTCTCAGCTCTTCAATTTGCTGATCGAGTTACTTTCTGATGCACACACAATTTGGGAAGATCTTCATGAGAGATTTGATAAGGTCAATGCATCTAGGGCTTCTACCTTCATAAGTCTAATTACTTCTCTCGTTTGAGAGAACTCTAGGATGAGTTTGAAACTCTAATGCCTCCACCTTCATGTGCATGCCCTAAATCAGAACAATATGCTGAACACATTCAATTTCAGAAGCTATGGCAGTTTCTGATGGGTTTGAATGAGACTTATGCATATGCTAAGAGCCAAGTCCTGATGATTGTGCCTGTCCCCAATGTCTATCAGGACTATGCCATGATAATTAATGTTGAAAGTCAGAGGTTAAATGGCGCTGGTAGTTCCTCCTCCGCTGATTCACAATTGTTAACAGCACTCATGAGCAACAGGTTGTCTCAGGGCCACTATATTGGTCCTAGTAGTTCTCATTCCTCTACTTATCATCATGGGAACAATAGTGGTTCTAACTCAGGATATGGGGGAAGTAATGCTTACCGTTCTGGTAATGGAGTTAATGGTGGTTATAGGCAGAGAAACTATGGTGATGGTCAACCTAATGGGAAATCTCATCTTTACTGTGACTTTTGTCACTACAAAGTTCACACTAGGGAGTCTTGTTACAAGTTTCATGACTATGTTAAGAAAAAAGGAGTTGCCTCTACTCCTCATGTCAACAATGCTGCTACTTGGGGAAATCATTTACTGAGGCTAGAGTATATGATCCCTACGTAAGTTCAACCGGTTGATCTTATGTTTCTTCCACTAACACACCTCCAACAGATACACAGTGCCTGTCTCTATTCACACCTGAGTAGTACACTCAAATTCTCCACCTACTAATCAAAGGGAAGGATGTAGATTCTATGGCTAATGTTGCAACTACTAGCACTGCAGGTATAATCACAGATCTTATGTATGATGTGGTTAATAGCAATTGGATTATTGAAACTGCTGCTTCCAATCACATGTTTCATAATCCTAGTTTAATGCATCAATATACAGACTTGGGTGCTAAGAGAAATATGAGTGTAAATCTACCTACAGGAGGTCAGGTTCCTATTAGTCATATTGGTGAATCCTTAGTTCTTAAAGAAAAAACTGTGAGAGATGTTCTTTTTATTCTAGACTTCAAACACAACCTTTTGTTTATATCCCAGCAGACTAAGCAATTACAGTTTGTTCTGCTTTTTTCTGACTTTTGTATCTTTCAGGATCTCTCAAATGGAAGGGTCTTGGGGATTGGTAAAGAGGATCAATGCTTACATCTTCTTCAGACTGAGCTCAAGGATACTGGTGGTTTGCAAGTTGCAAAGAATCACACTCCTATAGGTCTTGTTGTTGACCAGTCAACTGCCCCTACTAGCTCTATTAATCTGACTTCTTCTGATTCATTTGTATCTTCTCTGAGTAGCCTATGAAATAAGAGGCATAGACATGCACCTCTTAAGGTTCTCAGTAGAATTGAATGTTTATATACTTTGTCTTTGGAGGATCATAATTGTATTGTATGCCCTATTGCAAAGCAATCTAGACTTCCATTTCCTATTAGTCTTTCTACTTTTACCGCTATCTTTGATATTGTACATGGTGATGTATGGGGACCTTACAGGTTCCTAACCATGATGGTAAGAGACATTTTCTCACATTGTTGGATGATAAGTACAGATACACTTGGGTGTTTTTGATGCACACTAAATCTGATGCTTTTGTAGTCTTGAAGGAGTTTTTATATATGGTGAAAACATGGTTTGGGGTCAGTGTCATGTGTTTTAGAACTGATAATGGGACTGATTTCTTTAACTATCAAGTGACTAATATGTTCAAAGAGTTTGGGGTTCTGCATCAAAGCTCTTGTGTCTATTATCCTCAACAAAATGGAGTGGTTGAGAGGAAGCATAGATCAATCCTTGATATGACTAGGGCTATGATATTTCAAGCAAGTGTACCACTAAGGTTTTGGGGTTGTTGTGTTTCCATAGCAGTTTATACTTTAAATATGCTACCTACTATGGTGTTGAAAGGTAAGTCTCATTTTGAAGTTTTGTTTTGGAAAATCTGCCTCTCTTCAACATCTTAAAGTCTTTGATTCCCTATTCTATGCCACTACTCTTAAGCATCTTGATAAGTTTGCTCCGAGCGTCATTCCTGCAGTTCACTTAGGATCCCCTTCATCTCAAAAAGGTTATGTCCTATATGACTTAAGCTCTAAGTAAGTAGGGACAATGTATTCAAAGAAGAGTTGTTTCCTTTTAAGGATCTTCAATGTTCATCTAATCCCTTGCTTCCTCTATTGACTCTTCTCAGATACTTCTCCTGTTTCTCTAGATGATTTTGTATCTCACACCAGTTCAGATACTTCTTTACCACATGAGTCTTGTGTTGTCCCTGCTACTACGCCTGTGTTTGCTGATTCTACTGATAGGATTGATTCTTTAGTTATTCCTCCTCCTAGAAGATCCATTAGAACTTCTAAACCTCTTGTATGGCTTGACAATTATGTCACTCCTAGTGCTAAAGTTTCATGCTTGTATCCTATCTCTCAGTATGTCTCCTATTCTAGACATTCTCCTTCCTATAGAGCTTTACTTGCTGCCTATTTTGCTATCACTGAAACTCAATCACAAGGAAGCCTGTAAAAATTCTCATTGGTGAATGCTATGAAAGCTGAATTTTCTGCTCTAGAGGATTATTGCAGTTGGTCTATTCTTCCTCTTCATCCTGATAAAGTTCCTATTGGTTGCAAGTGGATGTTTAAAGTTAAATACAAAGCATCAGGTGAAGTTGAGAGGTATAAGGCTAGGCTAGTAGCTAAGGGGTATAGCTAAAGACTACATTGAGACTTTCTCACCAGTAGCTAAAATGGTCATTGTCAGATCAGTAGTTGCCTTAGGTTCTTCTTGTGGGTGATTTTTATTTCTAATGGATGTTCACAATGCATTTCTACAGAGGAAGTTTATACGCAAATCCCTGAGGGCTTTGCGACCTAGGGGAAAAAACCCATGATTTGCAAACTACACAAGTCCCTATATGGTTTGAAACAGGCACCAAGGCAATGGAATCTAAAATTGACTGAAGCACTGATTAATATGGGATTTATACAGTCTCACTATGACTATTCATTGTTCACAAAGAAATTAGAAAAATAGTTGATTGTAATCCTTGTATATGTTGATGATCTTCTAATCACTGGAAACAATTTACAACTCATACAACAAGTCAAAAAAGACCTGCAACATAGGTTCAAAATGAAGGATCTTGGAGAGCTAAAGTACTTACTTGGAATTGAATTCTCTAGGACTATTGATGGTATTCTCATGAATAAAAAGAAGTATGCATTAGGGCTTTTGTCTGAATTGGGATTAGTAGGGTGCAGGCCTGCATCCACTCCTTTAGAGTCCAACCACAAGTTAACTTATGTCGTGTTTGATGAATGCACATGTAGAACTAATAATACATAAGACAAATTGTTGGATAACTTTGGGAAGTATCAAAGACTAATAGCAAGACTATTGTATTTGACTATGACCTGCCTGATATAGCCTTTGTAGTTCAGGTACTAAGTCAGTACATGCATTCACCAAACATGTCACACGGAGGCAACACTCAGAGTGGTGAGATACATTACAGGAACAACAGGCCTTGGGTTGTTTATGCCAAGCAACAAAGGATAAGAACTAGTAGAATACTGTAACTCAAATTAGGGAGCTTGTGTAGAGTCCTAAAGATTAGTGACTGGATATATAGTGAAGCTGGGAAATGTAATGATATCCTGGAAGGCAAAGAAGCAAAGCACCGTGTTTTGAGGTTCTGCAGAAGCAAAATTCAGGAGCATGGCTACCACTACAGCTGAAATAGTCTGGCTAAAAAGCTTATTCAAGGAGTTGGGTATAAACATTTACTTGCCTGTAAAACTGTTTTGTAATAGAAAAGCTGCAATACAAATAGCAACATTCCCTATGTTTTCATGAAAGAACCAAATACTTTGACATAGACTGTCCTTTTTGTTATAGAAAAGATTTTAGAGGGACTCATACAGACAACATATAAGCACCAGAGATCAACAAGCAGATTTACATACTAAAGGGCTATGCAAGCCTCATCATG